AGAGAGAGAGAGAGAGAGAGAGAGAGAGAGAGAGAGAGAGAGAAAAGGGGAAAAGACACAGAGAGAGAGAGAGAGAGAGAGAGAGAGAAATAAGGCCGTATTAATAGTCATTACTTGAAACTTGTCTGAGAGATGCGACATTTAGATTTTAATTTAGAGTTAAATATGAATTTTCAACTGTCTTGAGCGCGATTGCAAACATTGTAATGTATTGTTACGTATATTATACAATTTAAATGAAAAGCTCTCATTTAATTCTAAATTCAAACCTGAGTATCTCATGTAGGATAAGTTTCAAGTAATGACTCTTAATACAGGCCATAGACTCACATGACCTGTTTTCCCCATACGAATTCCGTTTCGTATTCGCTACCACGGACCGTATTTCGCGCGACTGACGTCGACTTCAGGATATATACGGCCGAGTCGTTTCATAATGGGAGGAAAAAAAGGAAGAATAACCGGCCACGTCGCATCGGCGCTAACAGTAATTAGCTTTGGCCGGTGCGACGGGAAAGAGCGAATACGAGCGTAATCAGATAAAGAACTTGTTCGCCTCGTTGCAGCTGGGATTGTTGACTGGATGCGCACCGGAGTCCCTTGCACTTCGCCGTGAACGTGACGTGGATATTACACTTCTGCCGAGACCGCGACCTTTCATCGCATTATGCGTCTCTCTTTGACGCTAACGGTCGGCCTCTCTGTCCCGCTGATAAAAGTTTCGCGTTCGCGGGGAGCGGCTTGTTAATCAGGACGGAGAGTACCCTTCGCTCGTACGGCGCAATAAGCCGCGGCGGAACGCTATCTTGATTTTCCTCCCTCGCTATATATTGTTAGCCGGTTGAGCACGTCTCGGAAAAAACCGAATTTGGGCTCGCGCGTATCGCGAGTATTCACAGCGCTTCGAGCTTTTCCCGAAGTTGCCGGGAAATTTCCTCGTGCTCCCCGCGGTATGTATAAAATTAAGTTGAGCCGTCGCGGCCAGCTTGAGCGGCGAATTTGCGAAAGCGCATCCCGCGGATGCAATCAGGCCGACGATGCTGAGAGCATCCCGAACGATCATCTCTCTCTCTCTCTCTCTCTCTCTCTCTCTCTCTCTCTCTCTCTCTCTCTCTGGGTGTCTTCTTTCTCTCGTGTGACGCGACGAAAATTCGCAGAATCTCGGCACCTTGATCCGCTTACAGGTCTGAAGGGTTCTCCCCTATTCTCGTCTGGAAATCCTCCGCTTTGGCTGTAAAGCGAGTTGAAATTCTTTCGGGAAAAGAGCGTGTTCGCGTCGGCGCGGTGATGGTTACACGTGTACGCGTCGCGCGACTTCGGCGAGCATAAACGATTACGATGGGATCGCGGGATCCGTCGATGTATCCGGGACGAGGGATTCTTTCGAATCCGCGCGGCCATCGGGTAAACTTTCATTTATATGCGGCTCTCTCATACATATCCGCTTTTCTCCCCGCGGCGAGAGACTCGATTCGGTTTCCTTGCCGCGCGTTCGGAAACAACTTTGTGCGATTAATTCGCGAACGCTAAACTCGAGCAAGCAGCTCCAACCACGATCGTGTATTCCTCTTCAGGACGGCTTCTTGCCGCGAGGTCGTTTTGTCTGCGCGCTAAAGCGTGTGACGACGAAATCTCGACGAAAGTAATTTTCCTGCGGGCGATTCGCTCTTCGTGTAACTTCTTTTCTGTATTGACTTTCGGGATATATCCACTTCCGGGCGCAATCACCGTCGCCGTCTACGTCGTAGGCGAGACACGTGGACAAAGCCTCCATCGCCTCGAGGCGAGGTCGCAAGGCGCGTGGAGGAACCTCGAGAAAACACAAGTCTCGCGTCGGCTGTGTCCGCCGGTGATTTTCTTTTGATGTGTTGGCCTTTAATAGCACAAGGCCCGCTATATTTGTGTACACGTGAAGGCGACGTGGCGACTCTCACAGGCCGGGGGATCTTTGTCTTTCTTGCCTCAAAGAAGATTCTAACGCGCCACTCACGATCAGTCGAGGAATCCGTCTGGCTTCACTCGTTACGTTGCTCGTGACGTTGCTTACGATTCTATTAATAAAGCAAACGTATCAATGCCCGGACACGTACTCCCCTGGCCCTGGACATACTTATCGTTTTAGTCTCTAAATACGTATATATTTAAACTGATATATAATTTATATATAAAAAAATATATATGTACATACGTTGAATATATAAGTACATTCCACGTTGGAAATTTAAATATTTGTATTTAAAGATCAGAGCGATAAAAATGTCCAAGAATAGGCACGTAAACGGGAATTGGTACAATCTTTTCTTACTTCTCATATTCCAACCGAAATATTTCAAATCTGTGTTAAATTAGTCAAAAATGGTTCGAATCTCGGCCAAACCGAGAAATTATTTGTATTGTTTTGGGTAAGTTTACTTGTTAAAATGATAGTAATTTTTCTATTTATCTTATTATCTAGATTTATTATCTAGATCTTTTTGATTGCAAGATTCCCACGGGAGAGGGAGGTGAGGGGGGGAGTTTCGTTTTATGTTTTCCTCCCCCGTGCCCTCATTTTCTTCGAAAGAATTATGGTCACTGTCGGGAAAGAATTGACGATGCACACATACACACACAAGTACTCGCGCGCTCCCGTGACGCATCCGTGCAGAAATATCGAGAGCGAAATGCACCGGGATGCATCTCTTAATGGAAAGCCTCCGTAGGGAAAGAGAGAGAGAAATTGCCCTGCTTTTTTTCTCGGCATTCATCGGGACGCGGACAGGAAGCTTAAAGTTCCGCAGAGGCTGCACCCGGACGATAACCGGATAAACTTTTCGAGACCTCCGTGGCGATTAATATCCGCTTCCGAGATTTATAAACCAGTTGCGTCGACGAGCGTAATTTGAGAAATCCTTCCGGCAAAGAAACAACGGAACCCTGCATCGAGACTTGCACGAGCTTGAGCTTTTGGATCGAGATTCTCGGGAACCTCGGTTCGTTTGTAAAACGAACGCACTGTGGCATTCTCAGTGGCATTGTGATTGTTCAAGAAGCGTGAGATATGGCTCCCTGCGTGACCGTGCAGCTAACGACGCTCTCTTTAGGGCCCATTTGCGACGCTCCCGTTTCCTCCGGTGCCGGCTAAGAGAGCCCCCGAGCCAACAAGAGAACTCTGAAACCTCGCAAATCGCGAATGACGCAAGTGTCGACGAGAGAGAGAGAGAGAGAGATCGCAGAAGAAGACGGAGGCTCAAGGATGAGGGAGGCGCGCGTCGATCTGCACAACGGCGCTGCGTTTCATGACCGATGGTTATGACTCGGATTACAATAGCCCGCTTTCTCCCGGTGGATTGCACGACGAAGCTGTGCGATTACACGCGGCATGGGCGATGACGATGCGCTGCTCGCGCATCGACGTGCAACGCCCGTTAAATCCAGGAGATCCCGCGGATCCCGAAGTAGCTTCGACATCGAACCACGCAGCTCGCGGCTAAACCCGTCCCAGGCGGGCGAGTCTGATGCGATTTCGCGATGTTGCAGCAAATTCAAGGCTGCTCCCCCGCAGCCGCAACACCAACGACCGCAGAGCCGCGTCTCTGATATTCGTCGAGTATGAAGGGTGCTTTTACGCTGATATTTTCGCTTGTTTCCGGTCGTCCCTTTGTACCAGCCGTCAATATGTCGTGTTCTCTCGTGGGGGTGAAGGGTGGAACACCCCGCGCAGGAGTTTCTCTTGGGTCGTACCGATACTCCAAAGGTATCGACAGTGTCGCGACAGCGTCGAGTAATACAATGCGCGTTTCATATCGAATTCAATAATGTAACGGCACGATCGCGCGAACACCGCGCGGAGATTTCAACAATCGCCGTAACCGTCGGAGACTTCGACGATCGGGACGTTTCCGGGAGCTAATGACGTGAAAAAGCTCGGCAAACGGCAGGATTTGATTTGATTCTCGCGTTGAAGTGAGAACAGACAAGATCGTCTTCCGTAACGAGCTGCAACGGCACGTTCGACGCGATTATCCTTGAACGGGAATTTCAGAACTGGTTCCGGGGAGAGTTGAAGGGTCTTATCACCGCGACGTTTTCCCATGCGAATTTTGACGGATTGCCTCTCTATTGGAAGACGAGGGTACATTAGACGTGCGCGAGAGTCTCCGCGAGCTGCACAGGCTGGTTTTATCTCGTCGTCGTCCGCGCGCGACGTCAGTCGGTTCCGCCGTCGAATTTCCGAATCTCAAAGCGGACGGAAAATTAGAGCAGCACTTCCGACAAGATTTAGCCGACCAAAGATGTCACGGCGTTTTCCCGATTAATTTTCTTTGAACTGCCGAGCTCCCGAATGCGCGACTCGAAGCGAACTTGGCAGAACTTCCCTTTCCGAGCGAATAAATCACGAAAGCAAATAGCTCGCGGGGGGAAGGGGGGCGGGAGGCAAGGAAAGCATTGCGCGTCAGTGTCGTGATACGATATATTCGATCGATTCAAAACACACGAATCGTTGACCCGTAAATTGTGCACACTGGACGAGCGCGGCTTACACGTTAACGTTCAATCTTCGACTTGCTCACGAAGACGGGACTACCTCGGCTCGGTTTCGCGCGCGTACATGGAGAAATTTCAGTTCCAGTATGGGGAAAGAAAATTGGAAGAAAAACTCGCTGACGCGAACCAATATCTCTGTTATCGTGACCGAAAACGTTCGCCTGAACGTTCAGCCGCGTTAAAACTCGGTTGAGACAACTAAGAGCAATTGACTAGGAACTCTCTAGAGGAATTCTTCTGTTCCTACGACCGAGTTTTTCGTCTGGTCCCCAGGTAATAAAAAAAAGGTGTACTGACACAGTTTTTTTTTCCGCCCACTTTTTCTAATCTGCTCGCTCGGAAAATGACAGGACGACGAAGGTGTGCGGCGATTTTAGCGAAGCGAGCGTTGCTGGCGTACTCATTGCACATGCAGAACCATGCAGCGAATGCGCGTTTAATGAGGATAATATGTTACTAAAAAATGACGGCGCATTTGTTAAAAAAAAATTCCACAACAAAACGATACCGCACATAATAATGAGCAAGAGATTTTTATTCACTTTTTGCTAAAGCATCTCACGCCACGGAATGAAAATAGTGGAAGCGGAGAGGTACTTTGGATCTCTCGCGTCGCGAGCGAACCGATAACATAACGAGCGTCTCTTGACTCGAATAATCGAAAGGAGCGAACTGTCGAGCAATAAAAAGTGAGATACTAATCGCGATAAGGAAGAGTAGCGTACCTTGTAACCGAGATACGCGAGCAGCAGGGCTTCGGTTAGTGACACCATCGCCAAGATCACTTGGACCACCCACAGTTCCAGAGGTCTCCTGACCCAAAGAATGGCTTCCCAGTTGATGGTCGGGTGCTCCTGGAACTCCTCCTCCGTCAAGTTCTGCGACGCGAGGAACTCGGTCTTGTTGCCGGGCGTGCAACCGTAACTGGGGAGAGAGACAGAAAGAAAGTAGGAAGGAAGGAAGGAAGGAAGGCAGGCAGACAGACTCGTAAGTGACAGATGAGTGCGTTGATAGGGACGGACGGATTGTCACGCGACATTCGCGCCCGACAAGTTCGATGGCTTTTCGATATCGAGTGCGCGTCGTTTGGGTCGACGAGTCTCCAGGATACGCTCTCGGGATACATCACCGTCTTGAGAAGCTTGCGGAGAATAAGAACGATCGCAACTCCCGTGAAGGTTCGCATAGTAATCATATCGATCGGAAACGCGTATCCCGAGTCGAAATTTGAATCCTACATTTGACCCTAATTCCATTCGCGCATACTCTGCTTCTAAAGCTTACATCAGACTCTTTTGATTATAACCTGCTGACTTTGATGTAATTTGCTGACTTTACTGAGAAATGCTCTCTAGAACTTACAAGTTGCATTTTAAGCATTTTAGTGCCGCTTAAAGACGCAAAGTACACTGGCAGAACAAAACGATCAGTCTAAATGAAATTATAGTTATTTTTGGTCCCAATCATATTTTTTCGATATTCTAACACCAAAATGGTAACATGCATATAAGGTTATTACCACTAACATTAGAATCTAATAAAAAACGACTTGCATAACCGTAATTTAGTAATCATTTCCCTATGTGATTACAAACACACCAAATATTTTTTCTTAGTGTAGGACTTTGAATTTCTATATGTATTAGACATACACCAATTCTTTCGAATATACAGATGTTAGAAGTTCAGGTCGGAAGCAGGACTAAAATTTCTCGACTCGGAATCTTCTATTGAATCTTCCCACGTCCGACCGGTGGAAATTGTATACACGAAAACGTACACCTTGACCGGGGTCACCGTTCCCGTTGCTGACGGTTTCTCGTCAGGGAACTCCTTTATAACGAGTTCGAGTTCGAGTTCGAGAGAGAGAGAGAGAGAGAGAGCTTCAATCGGAAACTTGATAATGGAGTTACATCAGGTATTAAAGGATCTCCGTGAATTTAGCCCGGGGTGTATCGATGAACAGGGGCACTTTTATCACAGAGGAGATTTCAAGGATGTCGCTTTGACGGCGAGATGCGTACGTGGAACCCGTGGAATTTAATTATCGGTGTATCGAGTAGCGAAAATTGACGGATGAAAGTCGCGCAACGAGCGGATAACAGATGGAAAAAATTTGTAATAAGCCGCGCCATGATCTTACATGGAGGAGATCGAGAATTCCACGCTGAATTGGCCGCCACACTTTCTCTCTCTCTCTCTTTCTTTCTCTCTATCTCGCATGAGCGAGCAACGACACTGCATCGTATTCCTCGCGCGCGGTCTTATCCCGCGTCTTATTCTCCTCGGCTGTGATAGGAGCGTTACATAATATCGTAATCGCGCATGAATATTGCGCCGCTCGCGCGTTAGAATGAGTTTCTTTTCCCCGGAGATAAAACTTTTCCGGAAAATCGTCCCACCGACGACGACGACGACGACGACGGCGAAACGAAATGAAACCAAATGAAGCAATTTCTGCATTCCCAACATCGCCGGCGATTCTCTCTCGCGATGCCGAAATACAGTACGTCCCCGGGATTCGCTTTTATTTCGGGAACTTTTATCTCCTTCGCGAGCGCAGCGAACGGATTCGATGGTGCTTTTTTCCGAGAGAATCTGTTTAACGAAAATGACGGGGATGACAATGATCGAGTAATGTCGGGCGAGGAGCGTCACTATGACATCTGAGTCTCTACACTCGGGAGACCAAGTTGTTGAGCTCGCGACGGACGGAAGTTCAACGCGGAGCTCACGTTTCCGGTCTCTTGTGGACATTTAAAGGAACTCATCCGGACACTCAATGTGACTTACCATGCCGCGAATGTTGGATCGTTGTCGGTAACGACCCTGAATATGTACAGGAAGCATGTCAGCAGCTTGAAGAAGAGATTGGCGAGTCGTATCCTCAAGCCTAAAACACAAACACACAGGCAACGTGACGCAACGACGGGCTGCCGATTGGCCTTAAATTCATTATTCACCGTCGGTCTTATCGAGTCTCTCTGTTATGGATGCAATAATAATGTCGTGGAAAATGTCGTTCCGAGCCAAGGTGATGGTTAAACAGACCAGTGTGGAGACACAAATACATGGATAATGCGGCGATAACGGAAAGCTATGCCACGGTTGACTATATTAAGACTCCGCTGGAAGTTACGTAATATGCTAAGGATTCACTGAGACTCGGATCGAAGGCCGGTTTACGGGTTATCGATCGGCTAGCTTTAACGAGATACTTTAACCATTTGCCCGCGACAAACGCCACAAAGGGCAATAAAGCGTTGACCTGTTGGGTTCACGACGTCCTAATGCACAGGTCAGGTACAAAGGTCAAAGCCGGCGAGAGGAATCGGTAGCGGCAGAATATCTATTATCGGCTACGCCAACAGAGCGCGGTTGTGCGCCGTGGGATATCCGCGAAGACGACGGCGGCGATATCCTCGAAATTACCTTACGAAACGGCACCGTTATTCCGGAAAGAAGCAGCCGTTTTGCGGCACGCCGGAAAAACGTCGACGGCGACGACGACAACGACGACCCGGCTGTTTCCGGCCGGGGCGAGTCTAACGGAAATATAACAACGCCGACACGGTCAAGCCCTCGAATTTATCTTGCGACACGCGTCGCGATTTTTCTCCGCGAGAGTATTCTGAATTTCTTCGCGGCGAATGTGTCTTCCGGCGGAACGGGAGGAGAGAAAACACTTTGTCGAATTTTTACCGTCAGCTGCCGGGAAAAGAAGAATACGTGGTGGGGAATTCCGCGGTAATTTTTCGGCGCGATTACAATACTGTGTCCAAAAAGTAAGACCAATTTAAAATTTATTTTTTAAATCTTTATTTATTATTCCAAATCTATTTCGTCGCCTTCAAAGTAATCCCCCTCAGACACAATACATTTATGCCAACGTTTTTTCCAACCCTACGGTTGGAAACGTGATGCATATAAACCCACCATCTCACACTGCATTGGTTCTTCGAGACCATTTCGCTAAAAATTCGACCCATATCGTTCCACAACCACCATATTCACCTGATTTAGCACCGTGTGACTTCTGGCTATTCCCTAAACTCAAAAGACCGCTCCGGGGACACCGTTTTGACTCGATTGAAGAGATACAAGCTGAATCGAAGAAAGCTTTGAAGGCCATTCCGGAAATCGACTTTAACAACTGTTTCGAGGGTTGGAAAAAACGTTGGCATAAGTGTATTGTGTCTGAGGGGGATTACTTTGAAGGCGACGAAATAGATTTGGAATAATAAATAAAGATTAAAAAAAAAAAATTTTTTATTCTTACTTTTTGGGCACAGTAGTACTTTGCGTAGATCTTTCAACGATCGAATGTGATCGAAAACCTTTTTACAAAGTCTCAGAAAATAAATGTTGAAAGTTTACGGTATGAAGAGCGCCAAGTGAGAAAAAGAGACACAGAGTGCGGAGTCTACTCACTCGAGCGTTGATTCTTGATGAAGTACAGCTGTAGCCGTTCCTTGAATGTGTTCTCGTTCACATAGTACTCAACGCGAACTCTGAAAGCAGACACACGACGATATTGTTGTTAACTCTCGCGCAAACTCGCAGTGAGTGTTACAACATTCTATACTATAACGCGATCTAACTTCGCAATTGTGCCCAACTATCGTATTCGACAATGCCGGCCAACTTCCGCGTATCTTTGCTCGGCACCGTGAAAACCACGTTCATATCACACGAACGTTATCGCCATTACTTTTCGCGACAAGCATCGCGATAATGCACCACGGCGATTTTTCGTTGAGCATTTCGCGCGGATACGGCGTGTAACGACCGTGATACGAGGTCGAGTGTACGTCGGATCTACGCCTACGTGGGGAAACTCGCCGTCCAGAGCAGAGAGCTATTTAGAGATTAAAGGATCGACCGGCAATCAACGCCGTTGTATTATTAGACATTCGCATGACTAATCGGCGTAGAGCACACTCGCACCACTTAATTTCTAGTTACCGTTATTCGCAGTCTAGTCTCACACAGATGCGACTAACCACTTCCGCCCGTGTCGGAAAATATGGCGAGGCGATATCGTTGTGAGACTCGTTATGCGGATGTGGCGTGAAATTATTCCACTATATCGTTACCTAAGCTCGCCTCTACGTACGTGTCGGCCGCAATTAGACAGACCTTCTACTGCGGGGAGGCAATGTTTGAAAGATCATCGCTTCAAAATATCATTTAATATCGTCCGTTGCATCTCCGTCGCATTCATCGCGCCAGAGATCTTGTTTGCATATTCATTTGCCGGAACGCGAGGCACACAACACATGTACAACACGTCGCGTGCAACGAGAACGTATGTCCTGGAATATCTAAATAACAATTTTATTCTCCCGAATATTTTACGGTACATAAAATATACGGTGTACCTCTCCCTCTTTCCCTGCAGTTTATAGTTATATATATCACCCTATATTAAATATCTAACAGAAAAAGTCTTGTAATGGTTAACAAATTCATTTGACTGAGCATTGCGATATTTTATATAATTAGTATTAAATATATAGTAATAGTTACCAACTATCTAGTAATAATTACAAAACAAATACTTCTTTTAGTTAAACAAATTAAATGGTTTGGTTAAAAATACCAGATAATTTGGATAATAATTATTAAGTATTGCGACTAAAAAGTCGAAATATTTGGTCACATAATGTAAGTATTACTAAAACAATATGGTTTTATTTAACAAATAGTTTGGTCTAATATATATTACATAAATCGATAATTGTCACCAAATATTAGCAATACATATTAAGTCTTGACAACAAATATCATAAACCTTACTAAGGTTATTTATCAAATTTTTAATTATATTTACCTACATATTTAGTTGAAACTACTTCACCAAAGCATCTGGTAACTATTGTCCAGGCTTGATGGTCATTACCAAATTTTTTTTCGGTGTAGACTCTTGTACTTTTTTAATTATGCCTGTTCAATGCTCTTCTTTTGCGTCTGCATTCATATCATGTAAAAATTTTACTGCTAATCATACTCTATCCAATCTACACATTTATATTATTGTAATTTTCTATTCACTATTGTGATTATGGACTTTCTTTTTATGTATGCATCGTTCTCGTCGGTCGCCGAGGGTTTTGCACACGTTTTCGCATAGCACCCCCATCGAAGTTCGCTCATCACTTCGTGCGCTCGTGTGCCGAGCCGCGGGTCAGGGAACGGACTCGGGAGCGTGCAACGACCGTTGTTGCTGTTATTGTTATTACTGCAGCGAAACGAGCCAATCTCATTGGCCAGGCCGGCGTTTTGCACGCTCGTCGGTCGTGCACCGCCGCAGTGCCTATTTTTAGCCCGCGGTAAATGCGTTGGCGTTGCCGAGAATAGCGTCGCGTGACGTCACCGGGCCGGCGTCGACAGGCGGTCTGTCGTACGCGATCGTTCCTAGTTGTTGAACTGGTTCTTTGACCCACATAACGTCACGAATGCCTGACCTAGGCTGCTGCTCGTCCACGGCGGACGAAGACGAACCGATAGAAGGGATCGCGATCGGGCAGGACGAGCCCGAGTCGAAATTTCCGATTTTGCTTCCGATTTAATGCTCCTCGTGTTACCCGACATATTAACGTAACCCGAGTCGAAACTTGGACTCTACGTTAAGCCTACAACCATCGTCGAATAGGTAATGTTTATGCAGAATGTTGGGTCTCTTTGATGCTGCAAGTCGTAATTTATTGCCGACTTTTCCACGCGGAGAGGAACAATAGATGTTAGATAACATAATGCCGACGAGAGACTAATTAAATGCCTTAAAAGAAATTAATTTAATTACCTGAGAGGAACGATAAATAACAATCCGTTGGAACTGAATGGAAAAACCTGAATCAAACAGTCAAAATATCCGACCATCTTTAAAAGCCAAATTTATCTCTTATATTCTTCTGGATCTTTCCATTCAGTCTCGAGGACGTGAGCGGCGACTCGTCATGTTTCCAGACGTGCTAGATTCTTTACTGGCCGTTCGACGATATTTACGGGCTTAACGTGCAACTTTAATTTTGACTCGGGAATGACTCGGGAAGCCATTTAAGCTTTATGCACTTTGATCCATAAAGATAGCGAAATGATGAAATGACTTTTTTCCACAAGCCCTGGTAATTTTTTTTTTTAAAGATATCTAACGAGTTTTGTTACCAAGGAAACACGAACCCGCGTATTTTTGTTTGTTATAAAAAAAGTTTGCGCGGTTAAACCACGAACTGCTCCATTACGTCTAGGCGGAAGAGATCTAAGTTATCCGAATAATCTGCATTTGTTCTAAATGGAAATATGCAAATGTGCGCTTCTTTTTATAGCTGCACGAGTATGAGATAGCAGTTCCGTCCGCTGTATAATTAGTATCTCAGGCATACGCGATCATGGAAAGTAGGAATTAAATGTCAGAGATTAATGATACATACATCTATAATTATAGAGAGGAAGACCTTGATAAGATGGATTCGTCGCAACGTGTGGGTGTGTCGTTCTACATACAAGTATGTTAACGTTATCGCGAAAAGTAGCAAAATTATACGCACGCGTTACCGACCTGATAGTAGAACACTGCGGCTAAGCTGGTCGATTTTTTGCGAGCCTCGCGCACACTTTCCTCGCGAGAACAATCAGTCGTGAGTCTGTGTCGCCAGAATGAAGAAATTTCAACAAAGGTCGAAAGTGGATACACAAAGTCGCGAATTCGCGACGAGGTGAGGAATTTTTACGCTAATACAGAATTGACGCAACGTTATCCGCACAAAAGAAGTATCGCGTTGTGCTATCGCGTCGTTTCGAACTCATCGAGCTCGAAACATCTAACGGAAGTGACGGCGTATCGGCGTGTTCCGCCAGCGCGGTAATTCCGCACCGAGAACATCGGCTACGATGCGAAAACGGTGAAAAATCGACCAGCTCGAAGGTTCCGGCGCGCGGGATACGCGCGCGGATCCTTCGAGCACCACAAAAGCGGCTGTCGCTGCCAGGAGTGATACAAAGCGAATTGCATCGATATCGCTTGAATTCTAGCACGCAAACATCGTCGCGCGATCTCTCTCTCCGCGATGCGCGGTAAATTTAACGCGATCGGCCGTGTAGACGAGGGCCGCGTTTAGCAGGCCGTGAATAATGTCACTGACGAAATACGTAGGCCGATGCGGGCCGATGCTTCCGACGTTTCGAGGACGCCCCAGCCGAAAGAAACGCGTTAAACACTGCCGCGACCGCGAGTCCGAAATCTCCTCTTTACACTTCAAAATTAACCCTTTATTCGGCGATATTGCTCTCAAGCAACATCGATTTCCCATGAGCTGTATACACTGAGAAAGAGATACTTGAAAATCTACTTTGTGGGGTATAAAGCTGATTTCTGAGAAGCGCGTTAAAACACTGCCACGACCGCGAGTCCGAAATCTCCTCTTTACACTTCAAAATTAACTCTTTATTCGGCGATGTTGCTCTCAAGCAACATCGATTTCCCATGAGCTGTATACACTGAGAAAGAGATACTTGAAAATCTACTTTGTGGGGTATAAACCTGATTTCTGAGAAGCGCGTTAAACACTATCGCGACCGCGAATCCGAAATCTCCTCTTTACACTTCAAAATTAACTCTTTATTCGGCGATGTTGCTCTCAAGCAACATCGATTTCCCATGAGCTGTATACACTGAGAAAGAGATACTTGAAAATCTACTTTGTGGGGTATAAACCTGATTTCTGAGAAGCGCGTTAAACACTATCGCGACCGCGAATCCGAAATCTCCTCTTTACACTTCAAAATTAACTCTTTATTCGGCGATGTTGCTCTCAAGCAACATCGATTTCCCATGAGCTGTATACACTGAGAAAGAGATACTTGAAAATCTACTTTGTGGGGTATAAACCTGATTTCTGAGAAGCGCGTTAAACACTATCGCGACCGCGAATCCGAAATCTCCTCTTTACACTTCAAAATTAACTCTTTATTCGGCGATGTTGCTCTCAAGCAACATCGATTTCCCATGAACTGTATACACTGAGAAAGAAATACTTGAAAATTTACTTTGTGGGGTATAAAGCTGATTTCTGAGAAGCGCGTTCGTTTCTGTGAAATAAACTTTATATCTCATAAATAAATTTTCAAGTATATTCGTCTCAGTATACGAGAACAATCGATACAGGACGCATTCGTTTAGCATTATTGCTCTGCAGCAACATCTGCCTATTTGTTTTGTTCGTCGATGTTTCAGTTGTTTTGAGTTTTAATCATTGAATAACAAAATTGTTGAAATGGCGTTTTAAAATGTTATTTTATAAATAATATAACTATACTTCATTTAAACACTAAAAAATTGTTGTTGTTCTAAAATTTCTTTGGGTATTTGCAAGCACAGGAAGATGTGCAAACACATTAATATCCCAAGTAGAAAGAGCGATCTCTTTCTAGCCAGCAAGTGGACAGAAATTCTGGTTACTGGTTAGTTTTTGACCGATTTAGACGACACTTACTTTGCCAGTAAAAATTG